AATTAGACAATACATGAAAGTGACCATTTTCAACTCATCGTCAACTGCAAAGTCTCCGACTAGTTGTGTAAACACTCGTAAACTCTCCTGTGCGTAAAATATTTCTGCAAGTAACCTCACGATAACATTCTCATCAACAGAAACCGCACGACGTAGGAAAACTTCTCAAGTTCGATGCTATATCAGATGGACTTAGAGATCCTCGATAATTCTATCATTGATCTATTACTGTTTATCACCTACAATCAGATACCATATTTCTTCCTTCGAGTAGAGCTAAACATCTTAGTTTGATCCATATACCTGAATCTAGTCTGAATGTCTAGGTTGTTCGTGGAATCTAATGTCCCTTATCAACGAGACTGCCAAATCTTACTTTTTTGAGATTGAGATTCTTGTTTACGCTGCTCAGGACGAGGATGTAAAGTACCCTGGAACATATCAACCATGCCACTTCATGTTAATTTCTATCTGTGTGCTGACTCTCCACCTCCGCCAAAACCCACCTTTTACCTCAAAACCAACGACGGGAGATCGTAATATTTGAACAGAACGGATCACTGGCTGGTGCACACTAGAAATTTAAGAACTGCCCTGCATATATGAGGATCGCACTTGGCCAAGCATGGTGTTTTTTCGATCATTTGGGTGATCATAACGAAGGAGCTCACGCAACTTGATTGTCAGATTCAGAAGCTTACTAGAATAAGATGAGGAAAACCCTCTTCCATTTCTAGGAGCATGTGCATCCCGTAACTAATCTATTGCACTCTGAACCCATAGAGTTCTGTATCATCCTACTAATCTGAATCAAGGTGAGAAGAAAATTGCGATGAGCAGCAGTTTTTTCATTCACGAAAATCACACTTCTGATTCGAGTGTCAATTCTGTGAAGGTTCATGTTTTTCATGATGGTCACATGGATCCAAAACCATTGACCAACTGATTGCACTAAGGGATGCACATACTTACCAATCATGATCAGAGTACTACAAAGTATTAGATTTGTAAAGAGGAAATAAGAAATAAAGCTCCTATATCTAAACAAACGAGATGGCATCGTAAAAGGATACGATTTCATTTTTTTGGGCTGTATGTATCATTTATCTGTCAACAGAAGAATCTATTACAACCAAAGCTCATCAGATTTCGCATGAAAACCAATGAGCACTTTCAGCAGATTTCGGTTGTTTCATATCAGAAATCTAGATAGTTATCATGGATGTAAGCTCGTGCTATTTGTCGGAGAGGCACCACAAAAGTACTTGAACAGACAAGCTTATCAACCTGTCTGCTCCTCTCGTTCCATTACAATCCTCAGATACTCTTGCTCGTGAGAATATTACATGCACTCTCTTGCGTGTCACAGGTGGAGAGTAGAATGATTTATAGCGCCAGAAGAGACGACCGTCATTGCAATTGCTTCTTCAAAATTCGTCTAATTTTCTTCATACTTCCGCTGAAAGGCCGTCCGTTCGATCAAGTCATATTCCTCACAAAGTTTAGGTTATTAGACTATACGATCATCGTACTTTTCATGGTCAAGACCTCAAATTCATGTGACAGGGGGTGATTTGGCGTAATTGAGTATGATGAACTGCCATGAGAGAGCGGCATCTACAGGAATCAAATTCTCTCTCTCTCTCTCTCTCTCTCTCTCTCTCTCTCTCTCTCTCTCATATATCGCTTTGGATATCGGATGTGTTCGACACTCTCTCATATATCGCTTTGGATATCGAATGTGTTCGACACACCGACGCATTCGGATGATCGATAAGTCCACCAGGGAACGTGAGTTTGAAACGAGCCATAGCTGGAGGAGACAGATTGGTGGCCGACATGGGAAAGCGAAACCTCGATGTCAAGCCCAGCACCATCATGCTCGACAGCAATTTCAGGGACATTCATCCTCGCGAAACCGAAGTCGCCCAATTTGGCACTGAAACTGGGCGACTTCAGCGACCCGAGGATGAACGGCCCCGAGAAGTCTCTCGATACGACGCTGGCAGCAGGCAGTGTGGAGTACATAGCGCCGCCAAAGAGAAAAACATCGAGTGTTCATATCAGCCTGAAAGGCCTCAGACAGTGGGTAGAGGATTGTTTTCTAAGCCGTGATATGGCGCACGCGGCGGATCCGAGCCAGGCAGAAATGTACGACGAGACAGCTTGAGCTGACGATCATCCTCATTTTGAACTTCTGCGCACTCACTCCAATCCCCTGCTCTCTGATACCAACACCGATACAAATACCTCGCACACATCGTCGGGCTCCATCAACATGCCAATGAGCCCCACCAGAATCTCGTCAATCTCCTCAAAAAGGTGATCGACGAAACTCGTGACTCCGCGAGGCTGCAGCGAGTACGAAAACACGGCTCGCCCAAGAGCCAATGCCCGAGCTCGCTCCGAAGCACGCAAGAGTTGCTACGCCATTGCAACGAGCTGCTTGAGTGCCAGCCATGCATGCCTCGTGAGGTCCCAGTTCCCGAGCTGAGAGTCCATCCTCAGCACAGTTCCGTGTCCACTGTCGTTGTTCACTTCATTCATGACCGCCTGGCAGCTCGAGACACGTGGTATCCAACTGCAGCTGGCTTCGCTCCTCATGCTCGCCAATCCGTGTACGTTCTTGTGCTAGTGTCGGGTCCAGGTCGGACGTTGTCCAGTTCGGACGCTGCTTCAGGAATCAGAGACGCAGGACGCAGTAAAACTCGTCGGTCCGGGTTTTACTACAGCATGTGGAAGATGAAGGTTACGTGGTCATGCACTTCTTACAATCCACTTTTAGCACCATTTGACCTTTCACCTTGTCTGAGAGTACTGCAACACGCCATTGTGGGCCATCAGCCTTTCGATTTGAGGATTTCATTTGAATTCTCTGCCCGACTCAATCTGGAAGATAACCTTTGCTTGTTACTACGGACAATTACGTGATTGTGGTTGTAGTGGAAGAATATTGATCACTGAAAGCAAGTACAGTTTTTAGCTGTCACAAAACACTCATTCGGGTTAGAAAGTTTCTTATTCATCCAGGACAGAGTTTCAACGATATATCCATTTCTTAGGAAGATTTTTGGAGAAATTCCAAGATGAGACGATTTTAAGTTTAAGATAAACCCTACTTTCTTGGTATCAAAAGGCACATGGGGTGGAGTTAGCGTTTACAATATGTTCATCTTCAATTTTCACAAGCGCATGGACCATGCACTTGGTCCTCAAGATCTGCATCTTTTATCTTGCGAATTGGCTCAAATAAAAAATGTTTACTTTTAGATATAAGTTATATCTAAATAATGTCTGTTATATCATATAACGGGCATTGCATATTTTCCCTATTTCTGGTATAGTTAGCACCTCCGTTTAACTTCGTTGTATTATTACTGATTCGTCTATATTATCATTATATTTTCTTTAGTACTGTTGTTCAGCTCACCATGGTCTTCTTTGATCACATCATGGAACCAAATATATTCAAAGGTATAACCTTAGAAATTGGCAGAGAGATATAAATGTTTGCAAATTTCATGCGCAGTGATGGTTTTATAACTTCTGGAAGAGTCAACAACTGAAACTTTGTTACTAGTTTTAACGTAATTTTGTTGTAGCTGTGTGATACAAGTAGAGTTATCTTAGGTATGTGTGAGACCTACATAGATATGGGTTTACGCTCTTCATATGTACTTTGTTGTCATAGTTGCTGTAGCATCCAATTTGCGACCTGAGCTACCAATTTTATACTATGCATTAACCAAGGGGACTTACTACTAAATCTCTAGGTTGATCCTTAGCATTCAAAAGATTCAAAAAAAGCCAAATATTAATTCCCAGTGTATCTAGTTAATTTTTGAACCTAAGAGTGAAAACATATTTCTTTGGTGTTTTTATTTTCGCATGGGCAGTTTTCTGTAGTTATGAATTTTATTTTTGTTGGTTTATAAATTTATCTATATCTTTAGGAGTGAATGTGAAACTAATCTTAATCACGTATTTGCTCAAATTATTGAATATAATTTGAATGGTAGAATAAGTAGAACCATCGATCATGTTCTCAGGGATATTTTAATTTTGATAAAGTTATCAAAATAAAAATTACTATATTATCTAGAATTTTTAATTAAAAAAATATGACACCATTCTACTCTACATGCTACATAACATTGAAAGGTATAAGTTCTTGGACAGATGGTAGTTATATCTATAACCACCAAAGTCTCATGTATGTGAAAAATCAACTATTTTTGTTCTAATATATTTGTGATAAAATATGTATAATTTATTTACTAATCGATTGGTGTATCATGAATCTTAATTCATCATTCTAAGTATAATAGTTAACATATGATAACTTCATGTATTCATCATACTTATGTATTATTGGAATTTAGCCTCATAGTAACTCTCTGCGTGCACTCATTGATTCAATATTATTCGATTTGCATTCCTATATGATTTCGATTGCACGGTAGATCCAACGGCTGAAAATGGATTGTTAGAAAAACTCTAACTACGTGATGTTATTCGTTATCATGCTGTACTGTACATGAACAAAAGCTTTTCCAGCAACAGTAATCGCCAGCATAATGGGAGACCAAGAAGTCTACAATTCGTGCGACTTCATGGTCAAGCATTGGGTGGGTGGGTCAAAACATTGTTTTATGCGGCGTGTATCCCTTACCTTAAACTGGTAGACAATAGCAGCTATGAGTAAAAAGACTACCGGAAGTAAATGGGCGGCGAATTAACTTTTCATTACAGGAGTGGCCGATGTGGCGGCCGGGAGAATGTTCACATCATCAGGAGTTCACATTACGTAAAACTGTGCCACGCGTGCCGCTCGTACCACGTAATGAAGAATTACGGTCATAACCAGGTAGGGATCCCGGGTCGGGTGTCGGCTTCATGAGCCCTAAAGCGTACTGGGGAAGCTTCGCATGGAATTCTGTGGCTGCCTTGGCCTTCCGTCTCTTCCGCTCGGCATTCTCATTTCAGCGCCAAGGACGGAAGCGGATTCCGATCTCGCGGGTCAAGACCTGGCATCTCAGCAGTCCCTGTGCTCCGCGTGATCGCGGCCGTCGGATTCGAACAATGCAAAGATTTGAAATTTGAGAAGCGAGATTCCTTGTTCGTCGTCGGTCATCACGACACTCACGCCTGATCTCGCAGCGTCTTTCTGCTTTCTCCTCGTGACGCTCAGAAATTTGAACGCTCCGCTCCGCTGCCCAGATTGACACCTTGAGGTGCTGTTGCGTCGCCCATGTGACTGCTGGTGCATGTCCTGCAGCTCTGACCGAGTCGATGAGACGCGATTTTCAAGCATTGAATGTCTGAGCTGGGATTGATCGAGTGATTAGTGTTACGCAAGGCAATGTCTGGCACTGCGAATTTACAGTTATCGAGCAGTTGGGAGGGCGGGCAGGCACGGTGCCGTGGACAGGGTTTGCCAGAGGTGCGTTCTGGTTGTCACTGTGGTCACAGGTTGGTGGAGTTGATTGCTGTCTTGAAGGGTGCTTGATGTGTTCTTGCCGACGAGTCTCCTGAGGTTTGCGGGCTGTCGAGGTTCGATCGAGCAGCAGTCTCGACTGATACAGTTCAGATTGGTGAATTTGCTGGTTGTTTTCGCCACTGTTCAGGTGGCATGCTGTCTTCATGACGAGGAGGCTGTTGGGTCCATTGTGTCCAAATATTTCGGTACTGCAGACAACTCTGTGAATTAGAGCTTCTCTTGAGCACGAAAGCTTTTGCAGTTGTCAGCTTGGATTTGCACCATGTCTTTCGAAGCAGGGGGGGAACGCCCTCGTAGGGGCCGCCCCAGCAGAGCGAATGCCAAAGGGTCTGCAGAGGTTTCACAGACCACTGGAGTGAATAATGACGAACAGCGACGAAAATTGCGCTCGAGCTATCGCGCTCTGAAACATACGCTCGCAGGTAACCTAGAACGGTAGATTTTGGGTTTCGTGTCCTATCTTTGTGCTTTATGTTCAAATGTCCTTATTTGCAGTCAATGTATTGGAGTGCCAGCAAAGTATGCAAACCTTGTTTTCTCGCCCATGTAGACGAGCTATTGACAGACGCGATTACTCTGGAGCTTAGGTTTATCTGAAGGCCATCATTTACTATTTCCTTGCTGAACTAAAAGTTCGTGAACACTTGGGTCCTCTGAGCGGGGTTATTTGTAGCATCTGGTTCGGTTTTCTCTGGAGATGTTGGGAGAGCGCAGTCTCCTATCTTTCGACCCGATGAGTATCTATTGACTTGCACCCTTCCATGTGCCAGCAGATGGGAAAGACGAATTGGTTCAGTCTAATTCTTGCAAGTTTGAAGAACTCTTTGATCAAATGGAGAGCTTGCACCAGCTCGGTAAGATACTTTAGACCTGCAGTGCATGACATGAGGCTTTTCTTTGGAGTCAGTAATATGCTGATACAGAGTATTTTTACAAATGAGCAGTGGGAAGATGCAATCAAGAGTCAAACCGGTTGTGCTAAGTTCTCCATCTTTAATTTCGTTTCTGTGCAGTGGAGAAGCCTCGGGAGCAAATAGCTGACGCAGAACTCTTTCTGGACATCACAACTGGGCTTCTTGAGGTGGCGAAGGGCGCACGTTGCAAGAATGGAATGTCTCCGGCTGAGTTCGTTGGTGCAATTATGCATAACTTTGGGGGAACAAGCATAGACTGGAATCTACTTGGCATGGAGACGGGCAGTATCTTCTGCGAAGCCCCTGGAGTGCTTACTATGTAAGTTCCAGAATGAGATGTGCTCAGTATTATAATGTTTTCGGGCCCTACGACTCTTTCCACTTCTATTATCTGTGCATTGTTGCTGTCGGTTATCATCCGATGAAGCGTTTGGAGCTATCAGAGTTCACTATATCTAACAATAACCGAATATTTTGACAACAACATACAGGCTATTTTTTGGGTGCCCGATTTCAGCTGCAAATGATATCAGAGCTTCGGACGAATCTGACTGTCCGAGGAATTTTAACCCTGAGATGATTGTTGTACAGGCTTGGTCCGATGGATATTGAGGTGAAGCAGAGAAAGGTACCAGTAAGCAGGAAAAGGGACCGACCTTCGCAGAAGACCCGAGTTCAAGAGGTGGATATGACGGATATCTGAAATTTTCTTTCTGAGTCCTTCCACAGAACTTTTGGCTGGTCTAATGTAAATGAGCTGACGACCTGTCCGTACCTTGACAGGTGGAGGAAGGTGATGCCGATAAAGAAAGCTGTGAAACGGATGTCAACATGCTAATTATGTTCAGATTACTCAGCGAGTCCCCAGACGTCGAATTAGATCGACTCGTGCTCAACAGACATTCTTTTTCCCAAACTGTGGAGAATATCTTCTGTATGTCCTTTCTGGTGAAGGATGGTAGAGCAGAAATCAAGATCAAAGATGGACGTCATTTCGTGGGTAAGTCATGGATGTTCTCTCTGGTTTGTTGAGAGCGTGGGGAATTAAAAGTGTAGGAAGCGAGTATGTCGATGCCCATGGTCTTGACAACTGATTCAAACATTCTGTAACTTGTTCTGTGATACTTTCCAGTCCCACGGAATGCCCCAAGTCATGAAGAACGAGGATGTGGACAAGGTCTTGTACACAACACGCAGTTCGTTTTCCGATTTGACTTCAAGGACTGGATGGTAAGTAATTACCAGGCCTACTTTCGTGTCTTCATTCCGATTACAAGTAATTTTCATAGGAAAAGAGTTGTATGCTGATTGTGGCAGCTTGTCTCTTGTATTACAGTATATGAAACAGACTGTCCAAGAAGGGACAGAGCTTATGCCCCACCGCGGGAATGAGGAAGAAGCAGTGCCTCCTTCTAGAACAGTGAGAACGCCTATTAGAAAAAACTCTCGAAATAGAGCACGCGAAACTCCTTCACAGCAAGCGCCGTCAGAGGATGAAGATGAAGGAATTCTAGCACGTCCGAGAAAGCAAACGGCGCTACTGAGTAGATTGATTTGAGAAATCATGATACTCACGCTCCCTGCATTTTCTGCGAATTGTGTGTTTAAACTGGGAATTTGATATAATATTAGGACTGTCTCGTCACCTGTACCATACACAGAATTTATACACAAGACTAGAAGAGTTTTTTGAGGTCATAGGCGCAAACTAGTGTTCGTAAAGTGCTGCCCACTTTGGTAGGGCTGTAAATATATGCGGCTGTCCTGCTACATGGTCTGAGAAATTTTACACTCTTCCATGTGTGCGAGAGAACACTATCTCTGTGCAGTCTAAGTTAGTACTTTAAGAAGATGTAGTTACGGCATTCCGTTCTAGCGAAGAACATGGAACAATTGTATTTATCTCTACCCTTCTCTTTGGGAATGAAATATAGGATTTGCAATTGAGCTCTACAGTATATCGATTATCTATGTCTTACGTTTTGCGTTGTCCCCATTTGCCTTGAGGGCAGATTTTCGTGGTAATCTGCGTGGCTTAAAGTTTTGGACTTAGAAGGACTTGCTTGGTTTATGTCTTCCGTGTCTTTTGAGTATTAAAAGTCAGTGCGCATATGTAGAAAGCGGTGCAGCTCAACCAAGTAGCTAATTGTAATCATGTACGGAAGTGTATGTGAGGAGATGTGGTCCTTCAAATTTCTTCTTCATGTCGTACAGGTAGGCGAGAGAACGTCGGGGGTCTGCTGTCAGTGCAGGTGCTTGCCCGATCGTATCCAGGACGCAAGTTCGAACCATCTGTTTCATTCAAGTGAAGTCTTCATGGAGTTGTAGGAGAGGCGCAAAGGGGCTCTCGATTGCACATGGGTGTGGGTTAGGGTTTCACAGGAGGCACTCAAGTTCTACAGCTGAGATAACTGGATTCTAGATCTTTCACTTAAATATATCACGGTTCTGCTTCGAGCTTTCAGGTTATCAAAAGTCGGTAATGATGGCATATCGCTGCAGCAGAAAGTGTGATCACGTCATTCAACATCTGTCGCCCGTATACGTACTAGTCCATGCCACGAACAGGTCTGACTTCTCACTCACTGTTAGCCATCGATGGGGGTTTCCCTCCATCATACCAGATGCACTGGAGTACGCAAGAGTAGGATGAGGCTGCCATTGATTACATTTTTTCATATGCACTCATGCGGTTGTGGCCACGTACATCATGAACTTATGCACCTTCAACGAACAGAACAAAATCGGTCCAAGCATATGGTAGTTCCAGGAGTGAACGATTTTTGTAGAACGCGTACTTCTCATGAACAAGAGTAATGTGGTAGTAAGGTCAAATGGTTCATCCTGTGAGCATCATCGAAATGTGGATTCCGTGGGTAATCAGTACCGATAGAGGTCAGTGTTTGCACGTGCGCTTGACAGCGACAAGGGTATGTTCTTTGGATCACACTACGCTCGCAGGGTCAGTGATTTAACCAACTCACAAAGATGCAAGAATTGAACCGTGGAAGCTCTAAGGTGGAGATCGCCGACATACAAGAGGGATTCGCACCTCAACGAACGAGCGGTGGCCGGCGTTGAAAAGATTCGGGACCATGGATCGTAACCGTATGTAATAACATTACCAGTCGAAGCATGACGTTGACTCTCTCCCTCTTCTTCTTGCAGAAGCGGTACCGGTCCTGTAAGGTCCTCGATCTTTCGTTGCAAGAGCACTTGGTAGACATGAGCTCCTTTGCAGAACGAGGACGAAAAGTCACCTGGGGCAAGATTCAGCACAAAGAGGGTCGCCAAAACCTTTCGCGGCCACGTCAGCCAATATTCAGACGACGTGTTTTGCCACGTGCCGTCATCTTATCCATGCTGGTCCCCATTCGTGTAGGTAGCGAGTCGTGGCCTGACCGGGGTTGAAGAAGTGAGTCGGTGAATCGGAAGGGTGTCGCCTAACTTGTCCTTACCTTCGGAAACATATCGCACTAAGATGCGAACTTATAAATCCACAGCTTTCGAATTTAGGCACTTAGAGCTGGCGATCTGTGATGCGGTGACATTCCTCACCGAGCTAAGCACCGGAAATAGTATGCTGTAGTAACTACTGTGAAGACAGACAAATCCCGAAGGATATCGCACGTCAATTTGAATTTAGTGAAGGAAAAATAATAATTTCACCAAGCCTAGTTACAAGTGGATTTCCTCCAACTAACACCGCAACCCAGTCAGTGATAAATTCAAAAGGCCCCTAAAATCGAAATGATCTAATACCAATATTTTTCTGTACCTAACGGCAAAAAGTATGATATACAAATATTGATCGTGACAAAGCACAAGCAACGACGTGAGAAAAGAATGGGCCAGGTTCGAACCCTAGAGTGAGTCCGTGAGGCAGTCAGTCAGCCGAGGAGACATGAAGTAAAGAGCCAACCTCATGATTCATGCACGCTTTTGACTTTTTGCGCCCCAGCGTCTGGGCGGAAAAAGGGAAGAAGTCGTCGGAGCAGAGGCGCGTGGGGGGAGGGCGGACGACAGCAGCAGCTCAGAGATTCGGAGCACTCGCCGAGCAGCGGCCGAGAGCGCCTCCGGGACCCCAAACTCTTTGTGTCCCGAGAAGGTTCGGCCGATCCGCTGGAAGGCTGGGCCTGCGGAATCTCGGCTGCCATCGGATTCGCCCCCTTCGCTAAAAGCCCGACGACGACGGTGCAGTGAGGCAGGCAGATCTGTGGTGTCACTTCGCGGGGCGGCCTCTCTCTTCTCAGTGCTGAAGTGTCTCCGAAGTCTCATCTCGTCTTCTTCTTCTTCTTCTTCTCCTCCTCCTCCTCCTCTGTCGGAGTGCGTGGTTCTGTTTGCGCGCTGCCGTCGAGGGGAGTGTACTGAAGCTCTCGTCTATTATTCTCTGGTTGTGGCCCGCCGAGTCGAGCGCTCGAGGTTTTCTCGATCTTGCGAGCTGCACGAACGCCACAGCCGGTCGGATGTCGACGCACGCTGGAGTTTGATGCTGAGGGAGAGTGGGGGAATGTCAGTCGAGGTTTGGAGGACGGCACAGCCTTCGCCTTCTGAAGAGGTTAGATCCCGTCGCTCTCCTTGAAATTGTAACGCGCATTTTAGTCTGACTGCTTGCAGGAGTGTCGATCACGGCCGTCGACATCAAGCGGGACTCTGTATCACATCGTAAGCTCGGTTGAAGATAATTTAGCGATCGAAACGACTTCAATCACTCGTCCTGAATAGCTGCAAGCTGATCGACACTTTGGATGTGTTTTCTAAACATCGTCTCTTTCGGATTGGTCATTGAGCTGGAAGTTCAACTCGTAAGAATTCATTTGCTAATCTAAGCTGAGACGAGATCTGACGAGTTCCTGGCATGCGTTAGTAATCAGACTCAGTCGGTCAGTAGAAGATCTAAAATTGAGGCTTTCGCTGTGACCATAGTGAGTGCAGTGAAGAGGAAAAGTCTCGCAGCTCTGTTTACGTGCCCTCTGCCCTTCTCCCGCTCCCCACACGCGGAAGTCGAGGCCGCTTTGTCAGGATACTCTGTCACTCGTCACTGCGGTCGGCGGATCAGAACATCCCTGCAGCTGGAACGTGGGAGAGATCTGCGGGCTCGAAACGAGAACGAGGCAGGAGGAAGTCGAGTGGAATTACAGTACTTACGATTTGGTTTGTCAGCTGTGCAGCCTGATCATCGGCGGACATAAAGGAGTGACCGAGTCTAGTTGAGGCGAGGCGGTGATGAAGCTATGGCGCCGTAGAGAGAGCTATGGGATGGATCATCGACCGATTTGAAGGAATAATAATTCCTCACCGTATTTGATTGCTTGCAAAGGCTCGGGTGGACGACCGACCGACTGACAGAGCAGAGGGGAAAGCGAGTCAGATGCCTTGAAGCCAGAAGGACAGATTTAGACGAAGGTAGAGATGGAGCCTCGCGAGGTGAGGAAGGCGCTGATGATGTGCGCAGTAGTGGTCGTGGCGCTGGGCCTCTCGTGGGCTGGGGCGGCGCAGGGCAAGTACGTGGTGGAAGAGCGGGGTCTGAATGTTCTGTCGCCTGGATCGTTGGAGGGGAAATTCGATGTGGCCGTGAGCAGTTTCGGGCGGCCAGGGTACGCGGGATCCATTCTCGGGTCGTTGCAGTATCCGAAGCAAGGGGCGTCCGGGTGCACTGCCTTCAACAAGTTCTCGGTCTCGTTCAAGAAATCCGACAGCGACTACAGGCACTCGCCCATCGCTCTGATCGAGAGCACGGGAGAGTGCGACTTCGCCTGGCGAGTGTACAACGCGCAGCTCGCCGGGGCTGCCGCAGTTCTGATCGTGGATGGCAAGGACGAGCCTCTGATCAAGATGGCCGACTCCGCCTATGCCTCGCCCCCTTCGTCGGCCAAGTATGTGGCCAACATCACCATCCCGTCCGCCCTGGTGAATAAGACTCTGGGCGATTTGCTCAGGACGGAGCTGACCACTGGCAGTGGGCAGGTGAACGTGAAGCTGGAGTGGGGGGAAGCTCCGACCGAGCCTCTGATTTACGAGTTCTGGACCATCAGTCAGGACAAATGTGGGGCCAACTGTGATTCTCAGGTCGAATTCGTGCAGAGCTTTCGAGGAGTGGCCCAGAATCTCGAGAAGGGAGGGTACACGGTTTTCACTCCCCATTACATCGTCTGGTTCTGCCCTCCCAAGTTCACGGAGTCCAAGGAATGCAAGTCCCAGTGTCTGAACAACGGCAGGTACTGCTCTCCGGATCCTGAGGACAACTTCGAATCTGGCTACGAGGGCAAAGATGTGGTGACGGAGAACCTCAGGCAGCTGTGCGTTCACAAGCTCTTGTTGGAGCGGAAGAAGCCCTGGGTCTGGTGGGATTATGTGGCAGACTTCCACCTCCGGTGCTCGATGAAAGAGGGCAAATACACGCATGATTGTGGCGACACAGTAGCAGGGTTCTTGGGCTTGAATGCCACTGACATCCATGCTTGTATGGGCGATCCTGATGCTGATGCCGATAATTTACTTCTCAAAGCAGAGCAGGACGGACAAGCTGGAAATGGAGGCGAGCGAGGGGACATCGTCATCACTCCGACTCTGGTGATCAGTGACAAGCTGTACAAAGGAAAGCTGGAAAACGGAGCTGTGCTCAAAGCCATGTGCAGTCAATTCGCTGAGGGTACGGAGCCTTCTTTGTGCATGGGCCATGAATTGCAGACCAACGACTGCTTGGACGCCAATGGAGGATGTTGGGCCGATGCTTCAGGCCTCGTGACAGCTTGCAGGGACACCTTCAAAGGCCGAGTTTGCGAGTGTCCTTACTATCAGGGAGTCCAATTCAAAGGCGATGGTTACCAGTCGTGCACCCCCACTGGTGAGTACCGATGTTCCATCAATAATGCTGGTTGTTGGCAGGAGACTAGAGGTAACCAGACCTTCTCTGCTTGCTCTGGCGACAAACCAGAGGGCTGTGAATGCCCAGCTGGATTCAAAGGAACTGGTGTGGATGCCTGCGAGAACATCGATGAGTGCAAGGCCAAGACCAAGTGTCAGTGTTCGGATTGCAGCTGTACCGACACATGGGGAAGCTATGACTGTCAGTGCGCTGGTGACTTGATCTACCTTGCTGATAATGACGCTTGTGTGAGGAAGACAACTTTAGAAGAAAAAGGGGTTTTATGGTTTAGTTTTGCAGTAGTGGGATTGGCAGTGGTGTCCCTGATCGTGGTTGCAATCATAGTATACAAATACAGAGTGAGGTCCTACATGGATTCCAGGATCCGAGCCACTCTTGCTCAGTACATGCCTCTAGATTCCAGCAGCCAGGATATCTACAGACATCTACAAGAAGAAAGTGGATGATCTGATCTATACCATTACAGTTACCTGTTCGGGGTTGTTTCAAGTTGAGGGTTAACACCTCAACTTATTAGGAGAGATCGTCCAGTCAGTTATTTAATGCGGCATGAGTTAGGTGTTACTAGTAGTAATGAGCTGTAAATTTTCATGTACTATGATTGCTACGAGAAAATCATTCTGGATTTCTTCGAATTCGGCAAGATTAGATATCTGCCCTATCAATGTGAACCGTCTTTTTTTCTTTGTTTTCTCCCTGTTTTGTCCACAATCTTCCGTTTCCGTCAACTTGGATCCACTATACCTCCCTGTATCAAGGATCCAAATCTTCTCGATGTGTCTCCACTTTGTTGACATTCTTGTAGCTCTCTCACTAGTCTTGTGACTCAAGATTCACCAGATGTAGATGTAGGCTCAAGTTCGGAACCTTGTTTGCATATGACGAGCATGATCCTGGCAGTTATTGAGAATGCCGGTGGGCTTAAATGTGTGCATGCCAAAGATTCTCTGCGACTGGGACTGGCCTAATTGTTCATGAGTGCCAGAGAGAAGCAGCCGTTTCCTCGGCCACCTTCCGAGGCATGTTCGAGTCATTAGTGCTTGATTGCATATTAAGCTTCTAGAGTTGGAAGGTTATGTGTGTGAACGCGGTTGACATGGGGATATAGAATTAGGTTTAAGAGATACTGTTGACCAATATGCTTTTCATTAACATTTTGTGTGTTTAACGTGAGTTTGGTTAGCGCTTTTGGTTAAATCTTCATTTGACAATTAGAAACGTTTTCAAACCTCATTATTTATCTTCTTGTGTATCAATTTGAAACTTTAAATTTATATATCGCCAACAGTAGGTATTGTAACTTGCAAATTTTTACACTTTTCATTATTCGAATTTGAATTTATCTCTATCATTAACTAAGTTTCTTCACAGCCATTTGATTAATGAAAATTTTGGTTAATTTATTGCGTTTTAGTGACAATTTTATGGATAATGGATACATATCCCATTGAAATTATGATTTTAATATTTTTATTTATGTTTAATCATGTAACAAATATTTATATTTTAAATATCTATTACATAATGAACTATTAGTTATCACTCAATTTAACATAATTATTCCTCACTTTACTATACTGGGGGTGAGTGATAATTAACCAGGTCAAACAATTTCTTTACCCAAGAGTGTATTCGGGTAAAGACGCTATAGAGAAAATTGATGAGGACTGCGCGTCGATTTGTGTTGGGATGGAGGGCATTTCTTGAACCTTAAGCAAGTCTGAACCAAAGCTTTACAACATAACTGTAACTTTCATCCATAGCCCCGTGAATCGCACTATAGATGCATCCCTCGACCCCAGGTTGTGAAGAGAAATTGTAAACAGATGTCCAGAGTGTTTTCCGAAAGGCATGCAATCGCGTGCAATATCTCGTTCCGTTAATTTCTTTCCATGTTTTCGGATTGAGCTTCTGAACGTTTCCTTCGAAGAAATATCTAGTCCTAGTACGAAGAGTAAGTGAGGCACCTTGGCCCTATGTATGACCTTTGTATGTCAAGTTTGGACCTTGCGTTAATTATGTTATTTCGCTGTATGTTCGTGGCGTCTTCTCCAATACGTGAGAAGGATCACATGTACTGGCTGAAACATCGAGGATAAGTGTAACCTTCAGCAAAGATGATGGGAATTTGATTCCATGGGCAAGTCAGCTCACAATTATAGCTATGATCGTTCATTCGTTGTAAGACAGTTTAATTGTGCTTGAGTTGCCGAGATTTCCATTACAAGATTGAACTCTACAAGTCTGTTGAACACCTATTTGAACGGGCTACTTGGGCCCAAGTAGCTCCGTTGGCCGTCTACTCCGGTAGCTCTCAAACAGACTTAGGTCAGTTCCCTAAGGACTCATCGAGAACTTGCATACGCATCTGAACGGGCTACTTGGCCTAAGTAGCCCTAAGCGGCCCAAGTGATCGAACTTCTCCAACAACTTGGTTGTACTACTATACTAGGGTGAAGGATAATTAAGTTAAATTCATAAAGACTTGGTATTAGAGAACTTGTAGCTCTCATACGGACTTGGTCTCGGAAGAGCCCCATCGAGAACTAGTCCCACCCAAGTGATAGAACTTGTCCAACCACTTGGTTGTCCTATTATACTAGGGTGAGGGATAATTAGTTTAAACTCATAAAGACTTGGTATCTAAGAACTTTTCTCACCCAAGTGGTCGAACTTGTCCAACCATTTGTATAAGGACTATATCGAGAACTTGTGTACGCATCTGAACGGGCTACTTGGCTCAAGTAGTCCCATTATCGTCTAATACCGTAGCTCTCATATAGACCTGGTTTCAGAATAGCCCCATCGAGAACTTGTCCAATCACTTGGATGACTCTACTATACCAGGCTGAGGGATAATCAACCTAAACTAAACTGAGTGATAACTAGGTGCTTCCATTATAAATAGTTATATTATTAAAAGTAAGATAAAATGAAATGAAAGTGTCTAGCATATTTAAAATTTTTCAATATGAAATTTTTTTGGGTTTAAGATCTTGAAGAATTTGGTGTGAACATGAAAAAATTTATATATATTTTCAAAAATAAGTAAATGAAAATGATTTCAAATTCATTTAGGATTTTTCAAAACTAAAACATTCACTTTCCGCTATTTTTAAAATTACATAAATGTTGTAAGTATTAAATATTTTCAAAGATTAATTTATTACTGTCAAAAAAATTATGATTCAAATTTTTTTTCTAATGGTTGATTAATTAAAAAAAAATTCGTTGTTAATTCAAATTTAAAATCGATCATTTGAAAAATGATTGATTAAAAGTTTTATGTATATTTGTTTAAATGTTAAAATGCAATCAGTTTTGTCAGTCAATCAGTCAAGATTAGTATAAACTTTGTGGAAATCAAAACTAAATGTTGAAATATGTTATTGTGAAAACTTCCAAAAGTAAGAAATGCTTGAAAATTATGATAATTATTATTAGATTTTTTTACATGATGAAATTTTTTTATAGTGGTAAAAGAATACCATTCCAATGCTATTACTAACACATCAAACCAATGTTTTTTATTTGCACTTTTTTTGTATCATGAAACTTTATTCTTGAATACCTTATATCATTCTACTCAAATTAGATTGAATGTTAATTCTTAGATCACCAAATGAATTAGCTAATTTTATTACAAATCAAATATTTTATCATCAACCATATGATGTGGAAATTCACTCTACTGCATAGTTGAAAAGAACGTGAATACGCGCACATTCATAGATAAAATGTTTGACGCGACAAGCAGATTCTCCGCACTAAGTACTACAACACAGTTAGAGACAATTCAGCCAAAATCCTAAATGTATTGTTCTGAAACATTGAAACCACCGTCATCGGTGCACCATTCCAACTCGTGTTACTTCTTAAATCTTTCTTTAACACATATTGGATAACAACAACCCCTTAATCTTTGTACTAGAAGAAAATCTAACAAAGCTAACTCCCTAACATCTAACAAAAAAGTTTATAAAAGACTCTACTTGAACTACTCATGCAAAATCCGCATAGTAGCATGATGTCTCCTAAAGCTATCTAAATAAATTTGGTGAACACATGAGCTGGGGTGAATTTACTATCAATCTTGAATAGCTCAAAATTTTAACAAAATTTGCATGTCTTATAAAGTAATATCTGATGTTGATGTGTTTCACTTTTATATTCAACATTTGATTTGCAACAATAGGTAATGCTCTCTAACTATTTGGGTGAAGATTGACAATCTCATGTTTCAATATTATCTCAATGATATTCTTATCAAATCAAATAGCTTAATTTGCTTCCGCTATATACTCCACTTCAATTGTAAATTTAATTACACAGTTCTACAATATAGATTTTCAACTAATGCATTCATTATCAAATATAAATATTTATCTAGATTTAATCTGATCCAGATATTTATCAATAGTGAGTATCAACATAGCCTAACAAGTATTTGATATTATCTAATAGACTATCAAACAATAAATCATAATTCTTAGTGTTCTTCCAACTTTCATCCAAACAATGTCAATAGAAGAAAATTGATCATTGGATGTTTTGTATACTTTGGTATCAAATCAATTCTCACTCAAAGCTAGAAATTTTAAACCAAAACCTATAAAATACGTGTTTTTCATGATAGTATGTCTTCAAAAATTGAAAATTTCTTAAAATTACCAAGCAAAAATTTTTCTTGCTTGGCAATGTGACTATGTGAGAAAATAAGATCGTGAGAATTATCATTTTTTCAGAATTAATAATAATTAGAAGAACACATCACAATTTTTAAAAAGAATTTTTTTTATGGTTGGAATGGCTTGCATGCAATTACAAGACAAAAAATCTTTGAAAATATCACTATGTATATTATGTGAACCACGTTATCTCGGTGTTGTGACTATCGTGCGTGCTGATCGATCAGGATGTTTAGTTTTGACTAGAAAAAATGGTTTGATATGGAAAAAGAAAAAATTATCAATAGGTAAAACCTAAAAGACCCAAACATCCTGATCGATTAGCACGCACGACAGTCACAACACCGAGATAACGTGGTTCACCTTTCATAGGCTACGTCCACGGGCAAGAGCAGAACTTCACTAAAGCACAGATGATTACTCGGCCTTCATAACCAAGCGCTACTCCAACCTGTTCACTCTCTCGATGCTATCTTGAACTGTACCCAGAGAGAGTCACCTTCTCTACTCTATACGAGAAGAGATAAGGTGCTCATAATACCTAACCTAACCTAACCACAGTTAACTTCCTAACCATGGTTACCACTAACTGGAATTAATCCAAGATAGAGTTAACCTAACAAACTCCTCCTTGACTCAAGTCTTGGAGAGGTAACTAATGTAATTCACATGTATCTCTGGAGGAAGTTCTAGAAAGTAAAGCTAAATCATGCTTTCCCTCTATATCCGAGAGTTAACAAGAACTAAGCCATAGCCGGCAAAAAATCGGATGGAGAATACATGTACAAAAGTTACTAGACTAACTATCCCTATGCAAAATTTGCAACTTTGCACAATGCTTGGAAAAAATCTCCAAAGGAATTACTTTGATCAATGCGTCGGCAGGGTTGAGCTTACCATCAATTTTAATGAGCTTAAGTGCACTATCAGACACTGCTTGTCTGATATAATGATATCGAATATCAATGTGCTTTACCCTATCATCCATCACATTGTTGGATGCTAGATGAAGTGCGCTCTGGCTATCATAATAAAGATTCACATCACTGTGTGGCAGCCCCATCTCAGTGGCCAACTTGTTCAACCAAATTGCCTTTTCGCTGCTTCTGCTGCTGCAAGGTATTAAACTTCTGTGAACGACTG